TTTAGCTTTACAACTTAAAAAATCCAGCAAATTACTTAAAAAAATACTGTTTTTTGAAAACTGGCTATAAAAAATCCATCTATCTTTTTCCAATGCTTGCTACTGAGTAACCTCTTAGAATTAGATGTTAATTTTCCATGTGTTTCCAAAGAAATTAAAAAAAATCTTTTTCCAAAATCAGCCTCCACAACCAGTTGAAAACCGTTGTTGTGAGCAATGGGCAACTAAACTGGGAAACAATGCAGTTCAACAATGCAATAGTTTATTCCAAACATACACAGGTAAATAAAATCATATACAATAAAAAAATTTCATATCAGTATTTATTAGTCATTCATTTTTTGCACGCTTTTCCATATTATCTTTATTTTATTTTTACGAACAAGTATTTTTTTCACTGGCGACCATTTTATTAACTTCCAAGAACTTTTACCAGATTTCTTCAACAAAATAACATTATAATTATGATTTAATTTTTATGAAAAGGACTTAAACTAAATCCCTTTCAAGGAGATGAAGATTGCCTCTACTTGAACGTTTACACTCCTTTGGTTACTGAAGAAAATAAGGACACAAAATATCCTGTAATGTTCTGGATTCATGGCGGAGCTTTCAATACAGGATCTGGTGATTGGGAATATTATGGTCCTGATTATCTCGTCAAACAGGACGTTATTGTAGTCACCATCAATTATCGTCTCGGAGTTTTCGGATTTCTTTTGTGCACCTGAATGGGGAATTTACGGAAACATGGGGTTGAAAGATCAGGTAGGAAAAAAACAACCAAATGTAACTGAAATTCGTGAAAATTAACTATAAAAGTTTACCGGTTTATAGCGAGAAGCCCTCCGTTGGGTAAACAAAAATATCGAAAAATTCGGTGGAGACAAAGAAAATGTAACTATATTTGGAGAATCTGCAGGAGCAGCCAGTGTACATTATTTGATGATGGATAAATCTACGAATGATTTGTATCAAAAAGCTATTTTGCAAAGCGGAACTGCACTAAATCCTTGGGCAATCCAATTCGAACCCCAAAAGGTACCAGATAGTATAACTACAAATATAACTAGTTGGTATTGGTATTTTGCCTTGGGGAAAGTTACATGAACTTCCCGATATGTGCAAATAATCAACTTAATCAACAAATAATAAATTAATTTATGAGTGATCAAAAGTATTCCGAGTGGATTTATTACACGTCATTGAAAACGAACGATCACGTTAACTTGGAGTATTTTCTAAAAGCAAATTTTCAAAATTCAATAATTTTTGTAATTGAACCAGTTTCCGTAGAACTTTAATGGTTTAGTATGCTCATTAAGACCAAGTACTCTATCGTTACCATGTAAATCGTCTAATTTTAATTTTAACAAACCTAAAAAAGAACTACTCATTTTCTCAAACATTGATGAATTTTTAAAATTAAACTACTTGCCGTAAGGCTGCAATATTTTAGTAAGTTCTGTAAGACCATGATATATATCGTCAAAAAAAGTACCATAAAAATCGGCTTAATTTTTTTTTTCAACAGTTAAATACAAGAAAATGGCTCGGTAGATTTTCACCTAAAACTAATCAGTATCATTCCCAACTAATATCTTTCAAACAGTTTTTGATTTTTTTAAATCGATTCGGTACTATGAGCTTGAACGTGGACAAAAAGTTTAATACTTTTTTCTCAAATTACAAAGAAACGGCTCTGCCAATCGCCGCCAAAACTGAGAAAAGATAATCCCCATCAAGATACATCGATTGGCTTTTAAATTTTTGAAATCAGTTAAGGCGTTTTTGAGCAAACGTCGATGAAACTTCTAATTTTGATAAACGCCAAAAAACGATACTAATTTTTACAAACTTTGAAGAATTTTTAAAATTAAACGACTTGTCGTAGGATCGTAATATTTTAGTATAATCTATAAGACTATGATATCTACAGTCAAAAAAAATCATAAAAATCGTCGAAAAAAGTTTTTTCAACACTTTCATACAAGAAAACTGCCCAGTGGATCAGAAATTCGGAATTGCGGGCTAAAACGTAGACGAAAAATATTTCACTTTTTTGCGATTTACAAAGAAACGGCTCGGCCAATCGTTGCACAAAATTGAGAAACACTAGTCCTCATCAAGATACATCGAAAGACAAAAAATCTGTTCACACACACACACATACATACTTTTTCCAAATTTGGTCTCATTCGATTCAGAATGGCTTGAAACGTCGAGAAAACATAAAATTAGCGAATCTGATTTTTTGATGAATCCATAAACTTCTCCTTCGGGAAGGTAAAACTATGCTTGTTTACTACAAAGTTTTATTCAAGTATTCTTCCAGAATTTGGAAAAACTTCAAGAATCCCTAAAAACTTGCTCAAAAGAAGATTTGCTAAATGTCGACTCCAGAACCCTGCTTTCAGCATCTTTATCCGACGTTCCTGATAGAGAAGACATCAGACGAGCCACAGAACCAGTTTTCAAACCAGTAATAGAAGAAAAATGTGAAGCAAATCCTGATCCTATAATAACTGAATCAGTTTTAAAACTGATGCAGGAAGAAGGATTACCAGAAAAAGATGTAATAATTGGTTTCAACAACATGGAAGGACTTTTTGCTTTGACACGAGTGGATGCTGATTGTCACGAAGTTGAAAAGACTTTAAGAGATCCTGAACGAGTTATACCGCGAGATGCATTTATTTGGGAAAATCCTTTAGGCCAAGATCAAGCCAAAATTGTAAAAGAACTATGTGAAACTTATGTAGAACATTTTTATAACGATGATGATCCTGATGATAGACTAGGAGCGTATATTCATCTCATGGGAGACGCTTGGTTTTTAAATGGAATTTATAGGACACTCAAACATGGCTTTGATTACAAAAGGAAAAGTAAATTATATTTATACATGCTGTCGGATGATAGTTACAGTATTCATAAAAAATATGCTCTGAAAAACTGGAACCATTTGCGTGGAGTGGCTCATACTGATGATTTGGGTTATTTGTTCAAAATGTCACCAATTTTGTATCTGTTTTCTTGGCCTTTGAATATTCCGACTGATGAAACTGCTCAAAGGACTCACAATAGAATGGTAGTTATGTGGACGAACTTTGCTAAAACAGGGTAAGATGATATGACATATATTTATAAATTCATTTATTATTGTTCAATTTATGAATTATCTATTTCCAGTAATCCCATGAAATCCGAATTAGTGCAAAGATATAGAATCATCGATGCTTTAGCAGGATACACATGGGACCCTTGTGACAGTTTGGATCCTAAATATTTAGAAATAGGAAGACGAGACTTTGGAATGAGACATTTTTCAGAAATTTATCGCATGTGTATTTGGGATAGGATTTTTGAAACGGGAATAAAAATAGTTCAATGAAATCGACAAATAAACAAGTTGCAGAGAAGGCCATTGAAAAATATTCCAAAATGTTGCAATTCAAGTAAATCTAAAATGTAATATTTTGTAAAAATGATTAATAATAAATCGTATCGCTGCAGTAGTAATTGGAATTTGAAAAAAACATTCTTAAACTTTTTTTTGGACATTCTCAAATGCTCAATACTAAATTCGTAATATTAGAGGAAGTAATAACAATGAATCTAATTAAGGTTAAATTAAAATAAGCTAGTGAGGCATAACACCGTTATGCAAATTGCTGGAACTTCCGTACGTACCTAATGGAACATTTGTGGAATATCTAAGGTTTTCAAATAGATTATTATAAATAATGTAACTTTCGTTACTCGTATTTTGTAGACGAAATGTAAGAGAATTTGACGACGACGTGATATATT